TGGTGGGATCGTGGAGTGCTAGGGACGGATGTGAGCTGACCAACTCTTTTAGGGGAGGAGAAAGTGGTGGTAGGAGGGTTTGTGCCGGAAATTTTGCCTTTTGGAGTTAGTGTCTTGGTCAGTCCATCAAAGAGCTTGGATGTAGGGTCTCTTAATAGAGGCTTGTCCCTTGCACACCTTTCAAGGTATGGGACCTCTTTCCTTGGCGCTTTTACAAGGTTCACAGTCTGGCACTGGTCTGGCTTGGAAGTGTTGCGAGGGGCGGTGGTAATAATGGGGTATTCTTTCAATTTCTCATCAATGCATTTGATGTCCTTCTCGGGCTTTCTTCCAGCGACTGAATCTCCATGACCTCTGAGATTATTTTGGTTCTTCTCTGCCACAATAATCACGCTATCTGTAAGAGTGTCATCGCAGTCTGCTTCTAGGACTGTATCATTTTCTATACCTAATGAGTTGAGTGTGATGCAGCCTTCCTGTGAGAGACACATCCCATTTCCTGAGGTTAAATTGTGAGACTTCTCCAAAACACTAATTGATTTGTTAGGTGGGACATAAGTAGCCTCAAACAAGTCATCTGTTAAGAATGATAGGTTTTCTGTTAGGTCAATTGTAAGCTGGGCTATGTCAAGCTCATTAAGAGTCTGCTCAGAAGACAAATCCTGACTGTCTTCACTCGTGAAAGATGCAAAGGACGAGGCACGGCAGAAGGATCTGCTGGCTTCATTTAAGTTCTTCTCTAGGCACCTCTGCAAAGAGACTATATCACTGTCACTGTCGCTGTCATGCTGGTATTTTTGAATGGTCTGCTTCAGCTTCTTCAAGAAATCTGGACAGTGGATTCTGGATGGCCCACTGTCATTTAGTTTTGGCTCCTGGGGAGTTGACTTCCAACCATCTTCATCCGTGTCTATCTGGTGTTGCTCGTAGTTCTCGAGGTCTCTTAAAAATTGACTATATCTCGTGCTAAATGATTCCTCCATGAACAAATCATTTACAGAATATTTGGTATACGTGGAATCCTTTTTGCAGTTGGAACCTAATTTCCTGTCTTCAGACTTCTTTTTTTCATTATCAAAACATATCTGCAAACAGTGAGAAGTGACAATTTTTCACCCTGCTTTATGGTGTAATCCTTTCAAAAAAGAAAAAGTAATAAATCATATACAAAAGGCCAAGACAAAGCCAAAATTAGTATCATGACATCTTAATTAGATCAAATCAATACCCACTTGCTGTGAACCAGGAAAATCCTCTGACAGACATGACACTTCTGATCCTTCCTGAGACAAGACAGGGAGTTCAACAATTTCCTGTCTCCCTGAAAAGAAAAAAAAACAAATGAGAGAGAGAGAGAGAGAGAGAGAGAG